TTCTCTCGGAGGGTAAAACTGGCAGTATAATCCTGAACATCTGGGTGCTTAACTTGACCCTGTGCTGCCCAGTGGCAGCAGGCCCAGCATCCTAGTACCAGCCTCCTGTGCAGCAGCTCCCAGCTCCAGGCCCCCCATGGGGCTCCGGCTCTACCTCCTCTTCTGGCCCCAAATGTGGCCACTATTCGAGGCTCAGCCTCCGGAGCTGCCTCTACACGCGGTCCCAGGCCTCCTTCAAGGCTCCCACCTGCCCTACGCCAGTCGGCAGCCCAGACACACCGCATCCACTGAAGCTTCATGTGTCTGCGGCAGGCTTCTCTTCGAGCTGCTCACCCCTCCGGACGGTATGTCTGTATGTCTACGTTCTCCCACTCACCCCACTTCAAGCCTGAGTCTTCTCTCAGTCTTCCTTCTCCCGCTCCCCGACAGCGAAGCAGCCGACCATGCCGCCTCCGACCCAGCCCAGTAGCACCACCACTTACCCTGCTTACTGCTCTGCTCCAATCCCATTAAATACTCCCGGCTCCCTAAAGGCTAAACCCTGCCACTCAAAGCCCTCCCTAATCTGACCCAATCTGTCCTTCCACCTCATCTGCTTCTACTTCTCTCACCAACCCTCCATTCCAACCACACGGTGCTACCCAGTTTCCAACGCATCCTGGTTTTTTGTTTGTTTGTTTTTTTAAAGATTTTATTTATTTATTTAACAGAGAGAGAGACAGCGAGAGCAGGAACACAAGCAGAGGAGTGGGAGAGAGAGAAGCGGGCTCCCAAGGAGCAGAGAGCCCGATGCGGGGCCCGATCCCAGGATCTGGGATCATGACCTGAGCCGAAGGCAGACGCTTAACGACTGAGCCACCCAGGCGCCCCAACGCATCCTGTTTTTATCCCGACCTCTCCATGGTTGCGCTTGCCATCCCTCCTCCCTGGCCAGTCCCTTCTTTTCCACCTAATGATGACAGTAGCCACCGTTTACTGGCCTATGTAGGGAAACCCCCCTCCTCAGGTTAATCTCCCTTCACTAACCAGCCCCCTTTCGTCCATTTCTGAAGCACCTGTCTCTACCATTTCCTTCACCCTCAATCATTCATTCCAATTGCTCAGATGACATACATTCCTGTTCCAAATCCCCACGTCCCCCTCCTAAAGTACAAATACAAATAATGAGCACCCACAGCGGGCCAGGTGCTCAGCTAAGCATCAGAGTTACAATGAAGGGGGGGGAAAAGACAAAGTCCTGGGAGTGCCTCACAGAACTCAGGGGTACGCCCAAGAGGTTGGTAATGACTAATTAAAGAATTATATTCAAGGGGCGCCTGGGTGGCTCAGTTGTTTAAGCATCTGACTTTTGATTTTGGCTCAGTTTGTGATCTCAGTATGGTAAGATCAGGCCCTGCATCGGGCTCTGCACTCAGCAAAGAGTCTGCTTGAGGATTCTCTCTCCCCCTCTCCCTCTGCCCTGCCCCTGGCTTGTGCTCTCTCTCTAAAATAAATAAGTAAATCTTAAAAAAAAAAAAAGAACCAGAGCGCCTGGGTGGCTCAGTTGGTTAAGCGTCTGCCTTCAGCTCAGGTCAAGATCCCAGGGTCCTGGGATTGAGCCCCGTATTAGGCTCCCTGCTCAGTGGGAAGCCTGCTTTTCCCTCTCCTACTCCCCCTGCTTGTGTCCCTTCTCTGTGTCTCTCTCTCTGTCAAATAAATAAATAAAATCTTTAAGAAAAAAAAAAAGAATTATATTCAATAAGTGTGCCCTTTCAACTGTGCTAAATTCTACAAAGAAAAAGTACTGAGGGCTAGGAAAACACCTAACAGGGAGAAAAGGCCCTCATTAGGTTGTTCAGAGCAGGCTCTATAGAAGGAGGGATAAGTTCTTCTCTGGGTAAACTGCCTTCTCTCTTTACATGTCCTGAGCTCCTGAAACCCTGCCTCATTTGCCCTCTTTGTGGTTTTAGCACATGGCGTAACACGTGAAGGAGTCCAGAAGGGACTCTGGTGGAAGAAGGGGAGGACTTGGGAGCAGAAAAGCATCTGATTTAGAAACTGAGCCAGAGTCAGGACACCCCAGGTGGCAGCCCTGGGTTCAAATCCCAGCCCTGCCACTCATAAGCTCTGAGCACATTACTTAACCTCTCTGGGCCTCTGGACTGACCATATCCCTCATGGAGTGGCCATGATGACATGTGTAAGTATATATGCAAAGCCCTATGCAGGCCTAGAACGTGAAAGCACCCAATAAATAAATGGCGGCCTCTGTCATCATTACCATTTGTACTATTGTTAGAGGACTCGAAGGCAGGAAATGAGCTCTGAGAGTTGTCTATCAGGTCATCAAGTTCGGGCCAACTCACTACTGAGACTTCGGAGTCTGGATCTTCTATGGTCTACAAAGGAGATGCACCCAGAAGGGTTCCCCGAAAGCAGGGGAGGCTCTTGCCAGGCCACGGAACTACCCAAAATTTGCTCTGCCTGAGGTCTGACTTCCTGCTCGGACTGCCCTCACGCTTTAAGGCCCCAAGAATCTGAGGCAAAAGAGAAACTAAGGCCAAAGGTCATCACGGCCACTTCCTAGTTTGCCTGGCACTTATCTACAAGAGGACACACAAAAGAATGCTTCATCTTTCCAAGTCTGGCCTCTCTCCTCTTCGTCCGGCCATATCCATCCATCCTCTTCTGACTGGGGGCAAGAGGGCAGAGTGCAAGGTGTGCAACAGGCAGAATAACGACCCGCCAAAGACGTCCAACTCCCCATTCTTGGAACTATCAATAGGTCAAGTCACATGGTGAAGAGAAATTGAGGCAGCAGTGGGGTTAAAGCTGCCACTCACCTGACCTTAACAAGGAGATTTTCCTCGATTATCTAGGTGAGCCCAGTGCAATCACAGGCCTCTTTAAACATGGAGGAGGCAGCAGAAGTCAGTGTCAGAACGGTAAGATATGAGAAAGACTCAACTGGCCACGGGTGGTTTTGAAGATGGAAAAAGGGCCATGAGCCAAGAACTGTAAGCAGCCCCTAGAAGCTCGAAAAGGCACCAAAATGGACTTTCCCTCAGAGCTTCCAGAAAGGAATTCCGTCCTGCTGAAACCTTAATTTTAGCCCAGTGAGACCCATTTTGGACTTCTGCCCTCCAGAGCTGTAAGATAATAAATCTGTGTTGTTTTAAGCCACTAAGTTTGTGGTAATTTGTTACAGAAACAATAGAAACTAATATACAGAGCTAATGCAAACAAATACGAAGGTACTGTTCTCTCCCTGGGGCTTTAGGGCCTCAGAAGCAGTGCTGAGAGTCACAGTGGGTGCAGGGTGCTACCACCTTTTACGCAAGAGGCTTTAATAAAAGAATGCTTAAAATACTTCTTAAAAGGCACTGGTGTAATAGAAAGAGTTTGAGGTCAGAGAGAGCTTGATCCGGTCTGTTTATCAGCCATGTGATCTTTCCATACTTCCGTTAACTCCCCTGGGCCTCAGGTCCTCATCCATCAAAATCAGGATGACCACCTCCCAGGAAGTGAAAGCTGTGAAAATAAATGGGGCAATGGGGAGGACAGAGCTTGGCCCCGAGGAAGCAGTCAGTAAACAGCTCCTCTTCCAGCCTCCTTCCTTCTACAGAGTCTTCTCTGAAGATTAGGCACAATCCCAGAAGATCCTATCTCATTCCCCTCCCCTATAAATGCAAGGATCAAGAGGAGGAGAATCCCACCTCCCTCAATCCACCTAAGAAATTGGGAGTCAGGCTGAGGCCCCATTCACTCATTCATTTATTCAACACATCTTTCTTGCATGGCCAGGGCCAAGAAGATGGTGAGCAAAACGGACCAGTGTCTACCCTTATGGAGCTTACATGGCTAGCAGAACCAATGTTCATCAAATGCCAGGCAAACAAATACGCCGCTCCATCAGGGATGACTACAACGGAGAGGTGTGCAGGAGGTCAGAGAGGTTTTGTAGAAAACAGTGAGTGAGTTGAGAGCTGATTAGCATTAACTGGATGACAGAGGGAAGACAATTCCAGGCAGAGGAAAACAACAACAAAAAGGCCAGATGGGGGAAGGGAGTGAGGCCTAAATGAAAGAAGGCCAGCGAGGCTGAACAGCAGAGGAAAAGGGGAAGAAGGGAAGGAAGGGGAAGAAAATGACTCTCTGGTTCAACTGGATGGGTGGTGGGTTCCACTCCCCAAAACAGGAAAGACTGGAAGAGGGCCACACTGGGAGGCGGAGATCATGAGGTCAGCTTTGGGTTTAGGGTACCTTTGGGACACCCAAGCAGAGCTATCAGCGGGCATTTGGATATACAGGATATGTAAGTCTGGAGCTTATAGGTAACCTCTAGGCTAGGAGTGTGAACGTGGTGCCACGTGTGAGCAAGCACTGACGGAAGCAGGGAGGTTGGCCTGGGTGAGACCGCCCACCAGAGAGACAAGCGGGCCTCTGACAAACATTTAACACCCAAGAGCTGGAAGGAGACTGTGAAGGCGGCTCGAAGGAGCAAGTGGTCTGGGAAGTCAAGTGTTACAAATGACATCACATAAGGGAGCAGAGTGTTATCTGCTCTGAGGAAGACCGTAAGATTTCCTAGGATGCCGCCCGACTGATGGGACCCTGCTTGCCTGGCTGCATGACGATCCTGGGGAGGCCTGATGTCCAGGAGGTGAGGCCTATTAGATATTCTCCTAGAGGGCCCTGGGAAGTGAGTGACTCCGATATTAAGAGGCTCAACTGCCTCCTAGGGAAAAACAAACAGAAGAGCAGAGATCCATTGTATACAATAGCCTGGCCTCAGAAAGTGGCTCAAACCAGAGCACAGAAAAAAGCAGATCCTGGCCTGGACACGTGCTCCGTCCCCAGGCTGGTTAAATATGTATAGCTTTGAAACGAGGGCAATACTGGAGACCGGACACCAGGGCGCAGGGCAGGGGGGCTCCCCCTCTTCCGCAGGTACCCGGACGGCAAGGCCCCCGGGCCCGGGCCTCCAGTTACGAGAGTGACCGAGCACTGAACCCACTTACCTGGTAAGACTCCTGGACCTTGGACTCTGTCTGTCTCCTTTTCCTGCTCGTCCGCCCGCTCTGAGTTCTCAACCACCTGATCCAACTCCTCACTCAGCTGAAGGGGGAGACAAAGAGGGCGAACTGCTCAGCTACATCAGCCCTGCTAGTTAGGACTAGAATGAGAAAGCAGAAACTGCCTCTCAATGGTGTCTCACTCACACTCACTCACTCACTCACACACACACACTCACACACACACACTCACACACACACACACGTCACGTGATGCAGGGTGTGTTATACCAACTCTATACAGATGAGGACACTGAAGCTCGGAAAAGTCACGTAACTTCCTGTCTGCTGGTTTCCCAGGGCTGCTGTAACAACGCATCACAGACAGGGTGCCTCAAAATAACACAAGTTGATCCCCTTGCAGTCCCGGAAACTTGAAATCTGAAATCAAGGTGATGGCAGGGCTGGTTCCTTCTGAGGGCTGTGAGAAAGAATCTTCTCCATGGCGCTCTCCTAGCTTCTGGTAATGGTGGGCAAGCCTCGGTGTTCCTTGGCCTGTAGATGCATCTCATCTCCAATCTCCACATCCACCTTCACACGGAGTCTCTGTGTCTCCACGTGGTCATCTTCTTATAAGAACACCATATTGGATCAGGGCCCACCCTTCTCCAGGATGACCTCATCTTAACTAATTACATCTGCAATGACCCTATTTCCAAATAAGGACACTTTCTGAGGGACTAGGGGTTACCACTCCTCACACATCTTTTTGGAGGGATACAATTCAACCACAACGCTTTCCATGGCCATAGAGCCAGAAGTCAAATCCAAGTTGGTCTAGTTCCAAAGCCTATGATCTTAACAGCTTCCCAGAGGAGGAGGAAACACAGCTAAGAGTCTGCTGAGAGACAGGAGGAAACAGTGAAGTTGGTGTCAGAGTTCTCCAGGACTCTGGCTCATGTCCACCGACTCAGGCTGCAAACAGCAGAACAAAATGGGGAGGGCGGTCCATCCCAGAGACAGATGCTAATTAACAGCCTGGTGGCAGGCAACTTCAGCCTCCCCTCATTGCGTTCTCACCTGGCAAATGGGGGAAATGCCACTGAGAAGAGTAGGGGGCAAAAAGGATACAATGATAACCAACAATTCTCATAGCATTGAGAAGGAAGAGGGCAAGAGAGATCAAGACCAGAATTTAGAGGACCTATCACTGAATTAGGAGGGAGGGAAAGGGGATAGCTTTCTTAAGTATTTTCTTAGGTTCACAGTGTCAACACTTAAGGTCTCAAAACATTTTCACTAAAAATTAATCTCCAAGAGACTTGGGTTAAAATAAAACTCTCATGTAACTACTGTCTTCCATCTCTCTCTTTTTTTAGTTTTAAGTAACCTCTACATCCAACATGGAGCTTGAACTTACAATCCCAATATCGAGAGTCACATGATCTACCAACTAAGCTAGCCAAGCGCCTCCATCTTCCTTTCTGTGCCTCCACTTCTGCCCCTTAGAATCAGGTAAAACCTCCAGTTTAAAGTCCTCCAAGCTCACAAGAAAACCAACACATGGGAGAGGGCTGGGAGGCTGGAGAAGACACCATGAGATACGAGAGCAAGAGGTCCCAAGAGTTCTCACTGGCCAAAGAGAAAGAAGGATGTTAGTTCTGAGAAGGCCCAGAGTTCTCTGATCCAAGCCTTACCCCAATTCGGCCTAACCCAGTTCCCTTCCTGACTACTGGCAGCCATAATGAGCCCACTCCTTGCCTGCCCCATCCCCAAAGCCAAAATCTCCCTTCAGCAAAGAAACTTAACTCAGAGCTAGGTCTACTCTCAGAATGATCCAGGCAAGATAGATGCAGGCCACTCTCTGGGAGGCCTCCTTCTTCTGAACAAAGCAAGAGACAGGGACTTCAAAATGAGCCACTGAAGAAGGTAAGAGGAAGGGTCCTTGCAGTGTCTTCCATCTAGGGGTGCCCCCAAATAGAAAGTGACTCCACCTTTGACCTTGCCCCTGCAAGCAGGATAACTGCCTATATTTTAATAAGCATTTTAGGAGCCCTGCTGGGAAAGGCGATACTGCGGGTTATGTTTGGGCGGTGAGCGACGCGATCCTACAAACCAGGACCCCAAAGCTCCCTAGAAGCAGGAGCTGCCTGCACCCTATTAACAAGAGCCATCATTCACTGAGGGGTCACTCCCTGCCTAGCATGGAGCTAAGAATTTTCCATATACCAACTCATTGGCATATGAGATAAGGCCTATCATTACCCTCCTTTGCAAACGAAGAAACCCGAGGCTCAGAAAATTTAAGTGACTTGACAAATAGCCAGAAGCAGAGCCAGGATAGGAACATGGGCTTTCTGACTTCAAAATAGTATTTATCCACTATGCCCTACTCCCTATAAACCTGAAAACTTTCAGAGGGAATTCCTCTAGGGTATAGAATCTAGGGGCCACAGAATCCACAGCACTGGTTAAAATTCATCTGGCTCCTTTTGGATAAAGGAGATGGTAGGAGAAATATAGAAATTTGTCCCAAAGTCAGATTCCAGACCAGGTCCTATACTAAAAATAGCAAGCTCTAGGCACATCTCATCTACTTTCAACTCGGCTTCCCCCCTTCCACTGTAGGGCTAAGCCATCAGCTTTATCCACACAGTATCATTTACAAAGGGAGGAATGTACATCAATAGTCTGGTCAGTATTGCTCAAGACAGCAGGAAGTACATATGAGGACAGGTAGAATGCTAGACTGATCTGGGAAGTTAGTCTCAATGGAGCACATAGGACTTAAGATCCCTCCTTGAATGATGAGGGGGATGGTGTAATTTTAACCAATGGAGTTTGAGAGAGAGTTAAAGAAAAAGAAACGGTGTGAGAAAGCGGAAAAGGGACAGGAAAGCAGGCGCACATTTGTAAACAATGAGTTTCCAGCATGGTTAGAATATAGGTGGGTGAGAGATAATTGAAGATATGGCTCTGACCTGTGCAGAGAGCTTTGAAAGCTGCTAAGAAGTTTGGACTGTTCTGGGTAGATCAAAGGCAGCATCGGGTGTTTGTAAAAAGGGATGTTGTGGGATCAAGGCAGGGCCTCAAAAGGAATCTGCACAGCATGAGAGACACCAAAGGGAGAGGTGGTAACACAGCATCTCAGTTGGCCAGAGCAGACACAGGGACTGGTTAAAATTCATTCAGGGACACAAACCTGAGGACTGAAGATGTGGAACTGACTGAACTTGCAAGTGAGGGGACCACCGTGCGTGCGGGGCACAGGGGAGGATGATCACCTGTAGGTGATCAAGGTGTAGGACCTGAGAGGAGAAGGAGAGCAGTTCACTAGTTCCGGGGAGTCAGGAGGTCTGAGAGAAAGCTGGAACCGCAGCCTGTAGCTCAGGACAAACAGGAAAAAGACAAAGAGCTGGAAAGTGATATTTAAAGTAGTGGAAGGAGGTGAGACTCTTCAGAAAAACCGAGCCCAGCGAGAAGCACCTGGGTGGCGAAAGCACCTTTGCAAAGTCAGGCGGGCCCCCAAACAAGACATAATTATCCCTGTCATTTACACCTGCAAGGGGCGAAGAGGCCTGGGGCTCGGAGGGGCTAATGCCTCCCGTACATCCGTTCCAGCTGGGAGGAGGGCGCCCGTGCCTCCACTTGTTGCAAAGAACAGCCGAGGTCAAGGCCGGCCGGCACGCTGCTGCCTGGGTCCGAGGCCGCTTTAATCATTCACCTGCCGGTTACGGGTCGCGGCTCCTCCGGGGCCCGGCTCCATCCCGCGCTGGCGGCATCCGGAGGAGGCTCGGCGTCCCGTTTCCTTCCTGCTCCGCCGCTCCTCTGCACGCGGGGATCCCTCCCCCGCCGCACTCCGCGGAAAGCGCACTCGACCCGCCGGGACGCCCTCCGCACCCCACCCGCCCAGACCCAGGGACCCCGCTCCTGCGCCCCACGGGAAACTTTGCTTCCGCCCCCCACTGCCTTGTACCTCCTGGTAGGATGTGGAGAGCTCCTGCCGGATCATGGCACTGACTCGAGCTAAGGTACACCTGAGACCGCTACGGCCCGGTAGAAGCGACGAGTCGAGGACTGCGGCCGCAGCACCTGAAGCTGCCGGCTCCGCGAGGCAAAACCGGTTCGGAGGTGCGGCCCCGAGACCAGGCGGGGCGGCACTCGGCGCATGCGCCTCGCTCCCGCTGGAGCCGCGGAAGGTTGCTGGGAAATGTAGTTCGGGGCGAGAGGCACCTCTCAGCAACTCTGGAGGAGCAAAGCCTGCGCGCTACCCAAGGCCACGTTTAAGCCAAGCGTTGGACTCACGTGCTCTCTTCATCTCCCACTTCCTCTTTTGTTAGAGGAGGAGGGACGGAGAAAATGAGTCGAAAGTGGAATAAAGAGGTCAGGTCAGATGAGTGGGAGAGCCTGATCTATGACTGCAAGAGGCAGTCTGGTGGGTTATAACCATTAATAAATATCTGCAGAGCACTTTGTATATTACAAAGCACTTTCATTCATATTATGCCCTTGATCCTGCAAGGAACCCGTGAGCTGGACGTTTTGCTCCCTGTTTTACAGATAAGGAAACTGAGATACCTTGTTTCAGAAAGGATTTGGGCAGGGCAGTGATGAAGTGTTTTTTCGTTTTGTTTTGTTTTGAAATGAAGATTATTTAATACAGGAAGAGACTACAGAATCCGAGTACTTTCCATTATTCCTACGGCAGACAGTTGGAGTCAGGACCTCTAGGTTCTTGTCCTGGCTTGCCCCTCTCCCGCAGGTCTTTTTTTTTTTTTTTAAGCTTTTATTTATTTGAGAGAGGGAGCACAAGCAGGGAGGAGGGGCAGAGGGAGAAGCAGGCTCCCCTTGGACAGGGAGTACAATGCCGAGCTCCTTCCTAGAACCCCAGGATCATGACCTGGGCTGAAGGCAGACGCTTAACCGACTGAGCCACCCAGGTGCTCCTCCCGCAGGTCTTGTAATACTCTGAGCCCTCCTCTCCATGCTTAAACCCTGCCCTGCTCACAGGGCCTTACTGAGAACCTAAACAGATCATGCAGCAAAAACCAAAAGCTCTGTTCCCCCTCAGAAGAAGCCTCCTGTCCTGAATGTGGTAGAGAACATGGTGTTTGCCTTGTAGCAGGGTGGATCTGAGGACCGCATCTTCCCATCCTCCCACTGCGCGAACGGCTCTTCTGTGTGGCCACCCCCGGCTGATTAGTGGTGAGGCAAATAGAGGTCGCTTATGCTTTGGTGAATGCTGCTCTGTGTCCTGGGCAGCTGCAGCTCTGCAAGCCCCTGCAAGCAGGCCCCTCGGGGCTCTTCCCTCTTCAGCAGCAACCACAGTAGCACCAACCACATCAAAGCCCCCTGGATCTCCAGAGTATTAGTAGAGGGAGGCCTCCCTGGCCTCTTCTGACCACCCTCCCCCATCCTGGGTTCCCTGGTCTTGCATCTTTAATGGGACCATATATATAGTACCTAACATATTGTATGTACTCAACAATGTTCAATGTATGAATGGAACACTTATTCCAGCCATCTAACAGTTGCTTGCAAATACAAATGACAACAAACAACTCATTAGATTCCTAGCTGTATTAATGCAAAGCTGGTTGATAGAACAGGTCACACAATCATAGAATTTTAGAGCTGGAAAGAAACAGAAAAATCTAGTCCAGCCCTATCGATCCTCTCTACTCTTTGTTGCTTTGACCAAACTGGAAAATTACAGAGTCCCACATTTGAAGGAGATCCTAGTACAATACTTAACATGGTTTTAACAAATACAGCACTGGGCACTGGGATACAGAAACAAATGGGATACTCCCAGGTCCTTGCCCTTCTGGCTCTTCCATGCTAGAATGGAGAAGCCATGAGCACATAAATAGAAATTTCCGTACCAGCTGTTCCCAAGTCCTCTCCTCCCATTCTGTCATGAGCACACACGAATCAGGCTTTCATCCTCTCCACTCCACTGAAACATGCTTGTCAAGGTCGCAAATGACCTCAGAGTTGTCAAATCAGATGTCCATTTCCCCATCCTCCTCTTTTTTGGATGAGTTTTGTTTTGTTTTGTTTTTAGTATAGTTGTAACACAACGTTACATTATTTTTAGCTGTATAACAGTGATTCAATGAGTTTATAGGTTGTGCTGTGCTAACAAGTGTAGCTACCATCTGTCACCACACAATGCAATTTCAAGATCATCGATTATATTCCCTATGCTGTGCCTTTTCTTCCGGTGGCTCATTCATTCCATAACTGCATCTCCCACTCCCCTTCCCCCATTTTGTCCATCCTCTCTGGCAACCGTCAGTTTGTTCTCTGTACTTATAGGTCTGATTCTGCTTTTTGTTTATTCACTTGTTTTGTTATCTATCCTCTTTCTTGATCTGTCGCTGGCTTGGCCTCAGCTGATCCTCTCCTCCCTGTCTCCTTTCCTCCTCTGGCTTCCAGGACCCCACATGCCTCCCCTTTGCCTCCCCTCTCACTCAAAGCTCCTTCTCAGCCTCCTTTGCTGGTTTCTCCTCATCCCCTCAGTTCTCCAAGATGGCATTCCCAAGCCAGGTCTCTGATCTCCCTTCAACTCACTCAATGGGGGCTAGTGAAATGGGCTCCTCTCTAGGCTCTTGGTTTGACTTACCATCTAGATCCCAAAGATTCTTGTTATGGGTTGAATTATGTCTTTCAAAAAGGTGTGTTGAAGTCCTAACCCTTGGTACCTCCGAATGTGACCTCATTTGGAAATAGATTGTTGCAGATGTATTAGATAAAATGAGGTTATTCTAAGTAAGATGATCCCTTCATCTATTATGACTCACGTCCTTACACAATGATGGAAGCCGATGTAAAGGTAGACATGCAGGGAGAATGCCTTGTTATGGCAACAGCAGAGAGTATAATGATGCAGCTGCCCGCCAAGCTGGCGTTAACCATTCACCTGCAGCTTACAGGTGAAAAAAACCTTTCACATAGGGCACAGACTGGCCTGTGGCTGGGTTTCCACTGAATTTAGTCAAGAGGAAGCACTGCTGGGAGATTGGAGGGGGTCAGGGCAAGGGAGAAGCCAGGGTTTTGTTTTTTTTTTTCCTTGCTCCCTGTTCCCGGCAGTGTCCCTTCCATGGTTCCAGCCCCTGATGCAAGGGCTTTTTGTGGCTCCAGCTTCAGCTAGGTGACCCAGGCCCCCAGACTCTAATACCACCTCCTCCTCCCTTCTAAGGGTAGGATGGTGTTACTCTCCTGCCGTTTCTAATCTTCTGGTTACCTCGGGGATTCTTCTCAGCCTCCTTCATCCCCTGTGCAACCAACTGTCTTATTACAAGTCATTTTGTTTCTCTTCGAATAATTTGTATTCTCCTTGAAGGTAACTGATTCATTTGGGAAAATGAATCTGAGTTCAAGTAGGGAAGAGCAATCAGAGGAATGCCTAGAAAAATCCAAGGGCATATGAGCTTGCTATTACATCATAGATTTGTACTCAGTGTCTCAGGGAGAGGAAGCTAGATCTGATCAGTAGAAATTATAGGAAGTACCTTTAGGCTCAAAGAAGTTACTAACAAATAGAACTGTAGAGAGAGAAAGGGCTCAAGCAGAGAAGTAGCACACTGTATGTCAGGGATGTTATTAAGGAACATGATGCATCAGGAAAGGGATGATATTCTATTCAAGGGCTTAGAAGGGCCTCTTCTAACCTGGAGATCCTGTGACCCAGTGTAACATAGTTTCTGCACGCTGAAGCTTATACAGACTCTCACATCCATGATCATTTCTAGTTTCAGCACAATTCCATCAAGGAGGCAGGCTGGTGTGTTAGTAATACAGAAACTGAGATTCAGAGGGTTTGTGATGGATCCTGTTCAGGTCGCTGGGTACTAGAAGCTCATTCTGTTGCATGGATGAAATGTATGAAAATTTGGTGCAGTCACTGAGGGCAGGTGTAGCCTGATGGTTAAGGGAAGATGCTGGGAGGTGGCCTGCGCTTCAATCTTAGCTCTACCACCCACCTGTGACCAAGGTATTTAAAGTCTCTGTACTTCAGTTTCATTGTCTGTAAAAATGGGCAACAATACTAGTTCTTACTTCATAGAGTGAAAGCAAGGATTAAATGAGTTAATACTTGTGAAAGTGCTGAGCCAGGGCTTGGCACACAGTAAACTCTTCTTTGGTTTCCTTTGCCAGTACTCCCACCCACAAAATGTTGGCAGGGCCCAAGAACTCAGTCCTTGGTCCCTCCACCTTCCTATCCACCTGCATGTCCTTGACGATCTCATCCGTTCTGTGGCTTTATTTTTTTTTAACTTTTTTATTTTGTTTTATTTATTTATTTGAGAGAGAGAGAGAGAGCACACGAGTGGGGATGGAGGACCAGAGGGAGGAGAAGCAGGCTCCCCGAGGAGCAGGGAGCCCAATGCAGGGCTCAATCCCAAGATGCTGGGATCATGACCTGAGCTGAAGGCAGACGCTTAACCAACTAAGCCACCCAGGTGCCCCCATTCTGTGGCTTTAAATACAACTTACATGCCAAGGATTCCATGATTTATATCACTTGCCTGGAACTCTTCCTTCAAATCCAGACTCATAGAGCCAACTGTCAATTTGATACTACTTTGATATCCAGGTGTTCTCAAACCGACCAAGCCTGATCTTGAGCTTCTCCCCGCAAACCTGCTCTTCTCACCATCTCTCCTTATCTCAGTAAGTGGCAGCTCCATCCTTATGGTTACCAAGGCCAAAACCCTCTGGGTCATCCTTGACTGTGTTCTATCTCCCTGACCTCATGTCTCCTCTCATTTGTCAGCAAATCCTGCCAGCCACACCTTCGAAACACATCTGAGACCCACCCGCTGCTCACCACCTCCCTTGCTAGCACTCCAGGGCAAGCCACCATCACCTCTCACCTGGATTACTGGATTACTGCAGTGGCTCCCCCTGCTTTAGTCTGTCCTCAACACCACAGAGTCATTCCACTAACATTTTAACTCATTCCTCTCTTCCATTCAGTAAGCATAAAAGCCAAAATCCTTTAAAAATGAGCTGTGAGGCCCCACGAGACCTGTCCCCCACCTCCATTCCCTTTAACCCTGACCTCCCAGACTTCATCTCCCACACCTCTTCCCTCCCCTGTTCTCCAGCAAGCAGGACACTGTCCTTCCTCAACATGTATGCACCCATCTTTCCCTTGGCAGAGAATGTCCTCCCCTCCTAGCTACCTCCCTCACTCCCTATTATACAAATACCACCTTCTCAGTGGGACCTTCCCTGGTCACCCTGTTGTTTGTTTGCTTTTTTATTTTGTAAGATTTATTTTAGGGAGAGAGAAAGAGAGAGCACAAGCAGAGGGAAGGGCAGAGGGAGAGAGTCTCAAGCAGACTGCCCACCAAGCCCCGACTAGGGCTCTCCCACGACCCATGAGATCATGACCTGAACTGACTCAGAGCCCGACTCTCAACTGACTGAGCCACCCAGGAGCCCCTGGTCAGCCTATTTAAAATTGCAGCCCCCCAATGCTCTCTATCCCTTTGCCCTGCTTTATTTTTCTCCCCGGTATTCATCGCCATCTAACACACAACGGTATGTAGCTTTGTCTATTCCGCCCATAGAATGTAAGCTCATGGAACATAAACTCCATGGGGGCGCTGATCCCTTGTTCAGCAATGTGTGCCCAGTGACCTGATACACGGAGGCCCTTATAAGTACTTGCTGAATAAATTATTGAAGGAGTCTTTGCACAAATGTTAGCCTTTATTATTTCAGTGCCGATCTGCGCCATGCCTTACCCTTTGCAAAAATCCCCTTGGGGACACAACTGGGAAGGAAAAGAAATCCGCCAGAAGTAAAAGGGAACTTTTAAAAAGATTTTTATTTTTAAGTAACCTCTACACCCAATGTGGGGCTCGAACTTACACTCCCCCCCGCCCCCATCAAGAGTCGCATGCTCCACGACTGAGCCAACCAGGCGCCCCAAAAGTAAGAGGGAAGGAATAAAGCTGGGGTCCTGGTTTATAAATATATCTTCCTAGGTGCTGGAGTGTGGGGCTGTGTCCCCCACGTACCTACTCCAGAACTGCTGTCACATAGGTCGCTCTCTGCACAACCTCCAGTCCCAGGCCGCGGAGTCAGGCGCTCCAGCGGCGCGGTCCCGAGGGCGCGGGGGGCGGGGCGGGGGGCGGGCGCGCGCGGGGGGGGGCGGGGCGGGCGGCGGGCGCGCGCGCGGGGGCGGGGCTTCGGGGCCGCGGGGCAGGAGCGCGCGGGCCCCCCGCCGCCCCGGCCGCCCGGCCCTGCTCGGCGCGCGCACCATGGCGGGCCCCGCGTCGCGGCGGCGGTTGCGGCGGCTGGCAGCGCTGGCCCTGCTCCTGGCGCTGGCCCCGGGGCCGCCCGCAGCCTGGGCCGGGCAGGCGCCGCGCCCCGCCGAGCGGGGGCCCCCGGTGCGGCTCTTCACGGAGGAGGAGCTGGCCCGCTACGGCGGGGAGGAGGTGAGCGGACGGGAGGCCTCGGGGGGAGGCGCGGGCTCCGAGCTGGGCGCCAGGCCTGCGGGCTTCCTCTCTCCGGGCCGAAGGCCGCGCAGGAATCCGGGGAGTCCTCCCGAGTCGGGGCGCCCCGCTCAGCCTCGGCACCGAGCCCGCCCGCCCCGTCCCGCGCTGCCCCCTGCCTTCCGGCGAACTGCCCCTTTGAGACGCGCGCGTTTCGGCTGGTGATCCGTCCACGAACCTCGAAACTTTGGGAGGTTTAGTGTTAGAATCAGCTGGGGGCAGACACTTCTGCCTACTCTTTGGGGTGAGTGGCGAGGGAGGGAGAGAAGGAAGTAAAACCTGTGGGGCAGGCCCAGGGATGATCCCGGCTTCCCTGCACTTTGTTTTCCTGCCCCGACTCCTCAAACCCACTTTTAGTGCCTGGGCTCTTGGCTGAGCAGGAGCTGGGGGAGAGGGCCGAGGGGGAGACCGGAGGTTAGAGACAAAGACACCCACCCACCCCCAACACACCCACATCAGTCAGTAGTCTGGAGGTGTCCAGGAAACTCCTCACATTCCCCCGTCCATTTGGGCTGCTGGGGTCCAGTGTGATGTCTGCGGAGAGTGGGAATAAGACGCTGCACGTCACGGCAGAAGGGCCATAACGGGGCCGATCTGGGAAGAGAGGGGGACAGTTTGATGGGGAAATCACCGTACCATAGCGTGTCAGCGTTGATGGGAACCGACGTCCTGCTTTTACACACGGGGGAAACTGAGGCATGCCACCAGCTAGGGGCAGAACGAGGAAGGGACCAGTGTCCTCTTGTTAAAATCCTCCAGCCTGGGATCCCTAACCCTTAGTTAGCTAGCCTTAGCTAGACTGGGTTTGAAAGGGGGGGCGGGGGTCAGAAACTTGGCCCTTAGGCAGTGATGGCTAGTTTGAATATCACTGTAAAGAGACGTTGGTTAGAAGCCTGAGTGGAAGAGAACACAGAAGGAGGGAAGACAAGGATGTGACTAGATGTTAAGGGACACATCTTTCAGGGCCGCAGGGAAGCAGATGATACAGGATCCAGGAATCGGTGCAGAAAAGAGTTAACATAACAAGCCTACTCCCTTAGAAAGGCCTGCTGGCAAGAGTGGCTGTTGGCTGATGTCTGGAATTCCAGGGTGTTCCACACTTCCCTGACGGATGAGGGTGGCTCAATCTGAGCTCTTTATACAGTGTGTTTATGTTGAACACTGCTAGGCAGAGAGGGCCTACATGGCTAGCTGCCAGTAAAAACCTTGGGCTCTGAGTCTCTAATGGGTAGAGACTCTAATGTTCTGGGCAGAAACATCGCACACGTTTTGCTGCATGTGTTGCTCGCTGGTGGAAGAGAGCTGTGTGTGACCCCTCTTGGGAGAGACAGAGCACGAGGAAATCCGCCCATGGATTCCTCTAGACTCTGCCCATGTCCTCCTCTCTTACCATCGGACTGTGAATCCTTCTGTATGGCTGTCATAAATCTGAGCTCTGAGTACAACTGTATGCTGAGTTCTGTGAGTCCTTAAAGTGAATCTTCAAACATGGGGGCAAACTTGCAGACCCCCAGCACAGAACCCAAGAGAAGAGAGAGTGCAAGGTCGAGGGTACTTGCAGCAACAGTTCCAGGGGCTGCAGGATGAGGATGGAGGAGAGACCCTTGTTTTTTTATGCTGACATTATTGATACTTAACTAAGGGAAGCAAAGAGGGAAGCTTGAGGTGGGAACAGGTTAAGGGGAGAAATGTTTTGGGGTCTATAGGCAGAGAGAGGAAGAGAGGTAGGAGAGGGGCCGTTGAATGCCGCTGAGTAGAGCCGTGCTGTGCTCCGACCCACCCTAGATGGTTCTGGTTTATGCCTGTTGTCTGGGAAGAATTACTAATAGCACCCCCTTCACTCTCAGAAGTGTCACTGTTTGTATAAGACATTATACGGTACCCTCGTTAGAGCTTTATACCTTTGGATCATGCCTGGCTACCGCTCCCTGTTCTTTGGGCAGGGAGTTCTTTGGAGTCTCATTTTTTTTTCCGTCTGTAAGATGCTTTTATCAGTCAGGGGTCCACCCGAAACAGAAACAATAGGAGATAACATATTTGGTTTATGGCAAGGAATTGGTTTATGTGATCATGGGCACTGGTCAGGCAAGCCTGAAGTCCACAGAGCAGGCGAAAAACCCCTGGGCAGTAGCTGATGCCCCAGCCCACCAGTTGAATTTCTTCTTCTACAGGGAAACCTCAATTCTGTTCTTAAGGCCTTTCAACTGATGCAGTTAGGCCCACCCAGATTATTCAGGATAATCTCCTTTATATAAAGTCAACTGATTGTAGATGTTAATCGCATCTACAGAATATCTTCATAGCAACACCCAGATACTGTAGTTGATCAAAGTTGGCATGTAAAACTGACCATCCTAATGGCCATCACAAGAGTTCCTACTCTATATAGGGGTTGTGTGAGGACTAAATGAGATGGTGATAAACAAAGTGTGTAGGATAGGCCTGCAGTAATCTTAGCATAGTAAGCCTTAATAAATCTTAGCTGCTATTTTTGTTAGCTTATTATTAAAGTTATAAGCAAGAGGCCGTATAACAGGTCCATAATCCTCTCAGGCAATTCAAAAATCAAGCTCTGAAACCAGAAGGGTTTTGTTGGTTTTTTTTTAAGATTTTATTTTTAAGTAATCTCTACGCCCAACGTGGAGCTTGAATTTACAAACACAAGATCAAGAGTTGCATGCTCTACCAAATGAGCCAGCCAGGTGCCTCAGAAGGTTTTTGTTTTTGGTTTTGTTTTTTAAATAAGTCATTTAATAGCAAAACCCAACCTGCCCTGAACCCTTTTGGTAACAGAGCCTTGCCAGAACTGACATGAGTCTATTTATAATCTTTATGTGTTGTACTTAGTGTGAATATTCATGATCATGCTTTACTGTGAAAATATTCATATAATTGATTATGGGGTGCTGCCTCGGACCTCCATAGGGAAGATGAGGTGAAATTGAGGATTCTCTTTGGTTCAGAAGGGATGTCATCCTCCACCCTCCTAGTGCAACACGATTTTTGCCATCCTCAGAAAATATGTTTTCTGCCTTAATTGCATTGGAGGATCCCAAGGGCAGAGAGGGTCACCCTGCCTGCCCCCACACCCACCTGATTTCTGGGCCTGGGACCAGATGTATGTATTAAACTTTTATGTAGCGCTAACTCTGTCCTAACCACTTTAAAGCACCAACTCATTTAACGGCGACCATAGCCCCATGAGGTGGGTGCTATTACCGAAGTTTTTCAGAGGAGGAAGGAGGCATGGGGAGGTTAAGTAACTTGCCCAAGGTTACACAGCTAGGGAGTTATAGAGGTGAACCAGGCGCTGCTCCCTGAGGCTTGTACAAGGAAAATGAACTACCCAGAGCCCCCCTCTCCATCGCTTCAGGCAGTGGCCTGCTCCAGGGATTTACCGGTTCCAAGAAGAAGATATCAGAGTGCAAGCATGCCCGGAAATGTAGTTTGGCTTCTGGAGTTTATTTAGCGTGACTCTGGACCCTGAGCTTGCCACGGCCCCCTAGGCTTCACAGTTACTCTTCGGGGATGGAATTTGTCTGCACTCAGCACCAGCTCTCCTTGGAAATCTGTGCTAAGGTGGGGAGGTGGACAGGGTGACATTTGTTTTCTGCTTTTCTAAAACTTAATGATAGTGAAGAGTAAGACTGTACTTCCTCCAGAAAGATCATTCTGGACAGAAAGAGTATACAGACAGTGAAGGCAGTGGGGTAGAGATTGGTGAATAAAGAGGTGAAACCACCCTCTCTAATCATGCAGCCGAGCGACTGTAGATGTCTGGCTATGTCAAGGAATACATTCTGCATCTTCCCCCAGTACACACACACACAGTGAAAGTTCTATGAAACAGTGCTTATTCTTACTATGTGTGATACACTCTGGTATTTTCTATTTTCTGTTCTATTTTAAACTTTTCCTGCTTCATTAAAAAAATTGGTTAGTGGGCGCCTGGGTGGCTCAGTTGGTTGAGCAACTGCCTTCGGCTCAGGTCATGATCCTGGAGTCCCGGGATCGAGTCCCACATCGGGCTCCCTGCTCGGCGGGGAGTCTGCTTCTCCCTCTGACCCTTCCCCTCTCATGCTCTCTGTCTCCCATTCTCTCTCTCAGATAAATAAATAAAATCTTTAAAAAAAAAAATTGTTTAGGAAATCACTAAATTAATCCATGATGCATTAATAGGTTACCGATGCCAACTGCAATCAGAAACTAACCTGGCCTTAGACCCTCCGAGGGCCCCGTTATTTCTGCAGAAGAAAACATCGTAGCAGTTTCCCTCTTTGCCAGTGAGGACCTTTGGCTCTGTCCCTGGCCCCTGGTGCAAGGTCTGAGGTTGAAGGCCAGGGGCCTGCCTTCCTGCCTGCACCCAGGCTCCAGGCCTCTCCCTCCCGGCTGTGGAAGAGGCCCTCCTTCCACCACCCTGCTGCCTTGTCTTCCCTTCTGCGGTCATTCTCGTGGCACTGTCCTGGCCCCGCTTGACAATAGGCTGGGAGGATGGCCAGACGGTGAGGCAAGCCCGGACCCCGAGGAGAAAGGCCAGGTCTCATTTATGCAGATGGTTCCCATGGTTCCCGTCTATCTGGGTGCCTTTGACCCACCCCCTGTGTCTCACCTGGCGGTCCTGAGTCTTGTGGATGAATTTCCCAGGCCACCCTCGCCCTCTCCTGGTCCCAGGCAACTGCGCTGTCCTCGTGCTGTGTGCCCCCTGGTGGGGCAGGCCAGGGAGTGGAATGAGCTTGGGTTAGAAGGCTCCAGGCTCCAGAGACTGCTCTAATTCCCGCTGGGACTCTGGGCAAGTCTCCTAATCCCCCGGCCTGGAGAGCGGCATCTGTAAAATGAAGGTGTTGGATAATCTTCAAGGCCCTTTCAGTTTTAACTTAAAATTCCTCTAGAATCCTTATCTGTCACTTGGGAATTACATTTTTTTCTATCTTTCCTTTGGGAAGATCTCCAGTCTTCTTCCACTTGGTTATCTGATTCCTCTTTGATCTTATAACTTTCAAAATCTAGGGAAGGATCCAGGTAACTAACATTTATTTCCCCAAACTGCTAAGTGCTTCATATCTCTTGCCTTGGTTAATCCTCACAACAGCCTGGTAAAGTGGATACTTTTATTACCTTCTTATTACAGAGGAGAAAACAGGCACAGAGAGGTTAAGTAATTTGCCCAAGGCAACACAGCTTATAAGCGGTGGGTCCAACCCACGTCTGTTTGACTTGAGCACTTGTGCTTGGAACAGCCCACCATGGTGACTCCTCCTTGGGGCTCCTGGAAAAAGGCAGACCTCCTGCTGTTACTTCAGACCTGTTGTGCAGATAAAAAAAAAACAACAACAATGAAACATCCTTCCAGGTGGATGAGAGGCTGCGGGAGAACGGTGTGAAGCTGGTGATGAGCATGTGTGTTTTTATCGTGTCTCCATGGACATTTCTATTTCAGAGTCTGCATTTCTGCTCCCAAGACTTCCACTCACCCTCTGTCTGCTCAATTGCCACACCTCTGGGGCCTGGAAACCATGGCCACTGCTCTGCTGTCCTTGGACACCCAGCTCCACAGGCCAGGAACAAGCCCCCAGCCTCACCGCCAGCACACTTGACATTTAACCGATAAGACCATTCCTCTCTGTGGAACGCCCATAGCACCCTTCCTTGCTACCCCTTTGCTGGGACTTCCTCTTTGCCCTGACACCTTCAATGTATAGTTTCACGGGGAGATAAATATTTAACTGTTGAAGAAATTGAGGGTGTTAGTGATAAAATGCATGTGGTTGTATTTTATGTAGGTGAAGGTCCTGTTTCTAGACACAAGAAAGGAATAACATATCAAAGGAAAAGCAACAGAATGGAAAATATGACCAAATGCCATGGGTGAAATTATAACTGTTAATATATTGTTTAAGCTGAAATAATATATAACCCCACTTGATAAGCAATTGAAGTCAAGAAATAAATAATCACAGTGAAAGAAAGGCCATTAAAAAAAAAAAACAAACGCAGGCTGCTGGCTGATTAAACCATGCCTTTTAAAATAACCCATATTGGGGCACCTGGCTGACTCAGTAGGTAGAACACACAACTCTTGATCTCGGGGGTGAGTTCAAGCCGCACATGGGTGTAGAGATTACTTAAAAATAAAATCTTTAAAAAAAAATTAAAATAAAATAACTCTTAGTTGAAGTGGAGCAAATGTCCACCAAGTCAGCAGAAGTTCTGAGGACTATCTGTCCGGAGCTGATAGAGAATGTAATAACCAACTGTTCACTGAGCTCCTGTGCTGGGCCCCCTGTGTGCTCACGGACGCTGTGCCCTTCAGCGTGCCTGGAAGGTCAGTGGGTGTTAGCCATCTGTAATGGTTAGAGAAACTGAGGCCTGTGAAGTTATGTGACACTGAGATCCATTTCCTCGGCCAGGTCGCTTACCTTCTCTGAGCCCCAGCCCCTCTCTCTGTGAAACTTAGTCCTGAAAACTTGACCTTAAGCCCCACGAGGGCAAGAACCTTAAGGCCCATGCCTAGCGAAGACCAAGCAGTGTGCTCTTGGAGATCCAGAGATCCCTGTGCACCCAGCTCAACGCCCCCCTTCACCCCAGCCTAGGAGCTGACTGTTGGTGTCCCCGTACCCCCAGCGGGGCTGAGACAAAGGAGGCCTGGGCTTGCATGTCCCAGAACTGGAACTGTGCCAGTCGCCCCAGCCCGAGTCCACCTTGATGGAAGTGAGAAAATCCATGCCATCTACTTTTGTGTTGTTCTCTTTGGGGGGCGGGGGGAGTAGGAATTTGAAGGTAATATTTTATCCCTACGAATATAGCCAAAAATACACTATGAGACTGACTCACTGTTAGTACTTTGGGGAAACAGCATTGCTTGTATATTTCTAGCGCTGTAAATGGTTTTTTGAAGAACTGGTTAAATTTTTAATAAAAGTGATTACGTTGTTCATGCACTTTGGTCCAGGAATTCCATATATTCCATGCCTCAAGGAGATAACTCACCAAATTATAAAGTAGCTTATAAAAAGATATTCATAATCCTGCCACTTACAGTTTAAGGAATTGGAAAGAACCTAAATATCCAAAATAGAAGAAGAGCTAAACCAACAGGTACACAGTATCACTAATGTAAAATATAGCCGTGTAAGTGACAACCACTTTGGTTATTTCAATACATGGGAATGTTTATACGAAATAATATTACCTGTAAGAAGCAAAATATAAAATTGATCATTTATATTGATTGCTTCCATGTAGGTACATTTACCAAGATGAAAGGAAATCTGGGTTGATTTAAATAATTCACCATTGAATTTTTATCTATGCAGATTTGCTTCAGTCCCTGGGATTTTTTTTTTTTCCCACAGAAAAGTATTGCCATGGGCTTGTCATGATACTTTGTCAGCTTTCCAAAGTTTGTGAGTGGACATGACATTGGGCAGGTAGGGGCAAGCTCCTGATAGGGACGAGGGAAGGCTGCTTTGTACCTTCACCCGCTGCTGTCTGCACAGCCCGTGGTGGGAAGAGATGTCACTAACTTGGGCTGGAGGAGCGGAGATCTTGGGCTCTCCCCAACAGCTTCTCTCCTGCTTTCTAGGAGGATCAGCCCATCTACATGGCAGTGAAAGGTGTGGTGTTTGATGTCACTTCTGGAAAGGGTAAGTGGCTCGGCTTTATGAATCCTTACTTCTGGGGAGCTCGGCAGCCTGAGTGGGCACTGGATGTGTGAAGAAGGGAGGGGACGCTGGCCAGGTCCTTTTCCTTCAGATTGAGTTAACAATCTTTGTCAGTGTTGTACTTCCACAGTGTTTTTCTAATTATGTCATGCTCCTGCTCAAAAACCTTCCATGGCTCCCTGCTGCCTATGGCACCAAATTCCAACTTGATGATTTATCATGGTTGAAGCAGTGAGAGGAAAAGTGTTGCTTTGCAAGGCGTTGGGATCATAGAACATGATAGAACATTTTAATGCCACTTCATGGTTTCTCTAGTGGTAATTACAGATGATATCATGGAGGTAGTTATGGTTCATTGTGTATCTGACACCAAACAAAAGATGTTGAACAGAGTAGACTTGGCTTCCACCAACATTTAAGAAGACTGAACGTTCTTCCTATTTGCATTTTAAATATTTTTAAGAGATTGTTTTCATTCCATATTTTTAAAAAATCACCTCTCAGTCCAGGATGTGTGACTTATTCCATATTCTGAATTAGTGGAACCCAGACTGATGGCAGGGGGTGGCTTATTGGGCTTCATGTCTTCACTGCTTCTGCTCTCCTTGGGCCTGGAGACTTCTTCAGCATTGGATTGGGTCTCAGAAGCCCCCTCCCCTGCCACGTACAGTCTCCTCACTGCTTCGCATGCACATACACACTCACGTCTTCTTTTTGTTGTTGTTGTAGAGTTTTATGGACGAGGAGCCCCCTACAATGCCTTAACTGGGAAGGACTCCACCAGAGGGGTGGCCAAGATGTCCCTCGATCCCGCAGACCTCACCCATGACACTGTGAGCCAGATTGAGCCTTTGTCAAAATGTCCCACCCCCCCATTGGCCATGGCCTTTCTTACCCCTATGCAATAGCAAAGCTTCCTAATTAGCCTGTTAATGTTCCAGTCCACTCAGTGTGACCAGCTGTTTTCTTGAAATAGAGATCTTACTCTGCCACTCCTACTCAAAAACCTTCCATAACTCCCCAGTTTCCGTAGAGTCAAGTCCAAGCTCTCGTGAACTTGGTGATCAAACTCAATGATCTTCACAATTTGGCTCCAACCTGCCTTGGCAGCCCCATCCCCCTTGCAGTCTGCACCCGCCACCCCCAGCCTCATAGGTTTGCTGTTGGTCTCGGACACACACTCCCCAGGCCACTTCAGGCGTGAACAGGGTTGAGAAGCAGAGTATCCCCATGTTCATATTTCTGTGAAAGAGAAAACAGCATTGGCAAAAGCCATTTGAGGGCCTCAGTAATCCTGATGGGGGGCTGGCAGTCACCCCAGTTGCGCTCAGATGAGTCAAACTCATAAACCACAACATTACAGAAACATTTAGGAGTCAAGGAAGAGGAAGGTGTATGAATCTATAGTGGAGGGGGGGTAGAGAGCCATGAAAGGGAGGTGGGTGCAGACTGCATAGAGTACCCCACCCTGCCCCAGGCCAGGTGTTCGCTGGAGTCTTGAATTTCTACATCAATCAAAGAGCAAATGGCTCCCCCCACCATCCCCCTACACGCAGACACACGGGGTTGGCTTTTGAAAAGTCAGTTGGTTAGTTGAGATACTTTTTTGCCAGCATTAGGGGTGTGGGGGGAGGAGGGCGGGGTGGAGAGAGTTCAGTGTGAGGCATGACTCACTCATCCCACCCCCCCCATCCCCCATGTTGCTTGGGCTTTTCTCCCCAAGACGGGCCTCACGGCCGAGGAGCTGAAATCCCTGGACAACGTCTTCACCAAAGTCTACAAAGCCAAGTATCCCATCGTGGGCTACACAGCCCGGAGGATTCTCAATGAGGACGGCAGCCCCAACCTGGACTTCAAGCCTGAAGACCAGCCCCATTTTGACACAAAAGACGAGTTTTGATGTTCCATCCCGGGGGCGGGGGTGGTGTTCCTGATTGGGGGGGGTGGCAGGGAGACCCTCAGCTGCCAAATCTCCTGCAAAATAGGCTGCCCGAGCCTCTGGGCACCCGGGCCCAAATAAAGCAGACGTTGAACCCGGAACCCTGAATGCCTGTTATTGTCCTTGGTCGAGTGTTCCGTCGCCGTGGCATCCCGCCCGCACACCAGCCAGGCTGGTAAGGATGGCGGAGCGGGCAGCCCCCTCCGGGTCACTGTTCACTCTCTGGGCAGTAGAACTACAAGTGACTGACTTCCTCTTAGATTTCTATTTTCCTGTACTTGCCAGATTTCCTGTGACCACGTTTACCTTAGAATGAGCACAAAAATGACCTTCGTATTTTCACAAGGGAAGAGTTCTTCCCCACATGCCCTCTCCCTGAAGCCCCCTCTGCTCGACGGGACGGGCAGCCTTGTGCGTGGGCTGCCCCTTCACAGTCCTGCCTTCAGTGTCCCCATCCACGAGGGGCCATCCCTAAGACGGCAGGAATGGGGAAGGTGCGCAGGAGCGGCAGGGGATGCGGAAAGGGGTGTCAGAGGGGCTGACTTGGTGTTGCCACCAGGAGAGTGACTGCGTGACTCGGCTTCAGCCCCATCAGCGGCTGGGAAGTGGTGCCAGGGGCCGTGTGGCCAGGGCCCGGCCTGGAGGTCATCCCAAGCACGGTAAAGCCCATGCAGCACACTGGACTCAGGTCGGATTTCGTAAGGATTTCATCCCCTTTGAGGGGGGATTCAGTTCCCTCTAAGGGACACTGGCCATGTGCGAAGGCATTTTTATATTTTTGGTTGTCACAGCTGTAGGATTCTACTGGTGTCTAGTGTTAAGCATCCTACAATGCACAGGACAGCCCTCCCTCCCCGGACAAAGAATTATCTGGCCCCAAAAGTCACATGTGCGGAGGTTGAGAAACCCTGCGTTAAACCCATCCTGGAAATTTTATAGTAGAGATGAATTTCTTTGACATAAAATAAATAGCAACTACTCCCAAGAGAGAATTTTTACATCAAGCAGAAGAATCTCCTAAGGTGACTATTCAAAATGCTGATTCTGGGTCCCACCCCCAGGGCTCATGGTTCTGTATTTCTAGAACATGGCCTGGGAATTGCATTTTTAGTGGGCACCCCACCCCCCTGAGGAGACTGTGATATGGATGGGCTCAGATATACTTTGAGAAATACTACCTTCTGCCTCACCCTTCACCTCAGGGAGAACCCAGCCAGAGCCTTGCTGAGGACCAGGTTTGACCTCTACCTTATTCTTTCGTGTGTCCAGACTCGAGATTCTCCTGGTGCACTCCTGGGTCCCACTCAGAAGCTGGGAGCTTGGTGGCCACCCACCCAAGAGTAAAGGGCCTGGAACTTATCAGACAGGACCCTTTGGCCTGGAATTCAGAAAGTCCTTCATGTGGCCAAGGTAGTCTGTACTGGGACATGTGGCCCCCAAACGAATGATGTGTGAGAGCATACAGATGGTTACAAGTCCTTGGAGAAATACCTGAGAGAGGACTTCTTTTACTTAACACTGCCCACTTCCCTGCATCATCAGGCAGTGAGAGGGGCAGGATTCCCTTCCTTAGAGCCTAGTCTGCAGGGTGGGAACTTTCCAGGACCACTGTTTTCCCCACTTCCCTCTCCCCCTTGATGGTCCCCCATCAAAGCATAGTTTTCCCTCAGGGCCTCGGGCTCCCCACTCCTGCCCACTTCACTGCCCCACACCCCAGCAAGGGGCTTCTCTGAATCAGAATGCCTCTCATTTAGAGATTCTGGAACAGAGCACACAGGAACCTGGGCAGCCCAAAGAGGCTCCACACAAGGTGGGCGCAGCTCAGGGAAGGGAAACCTGCTGGCCTGGGGATCAGCATCATGGCGTGTCTGCAGGACCCAAAGCGTGCTGCCCCATTTACCCCGGCTCCCCTACTCCCACACTGGCTTGTCATGTTTTCTTTGCTTTCAAGGCTTCTATCTTTACAAGACTCTGTTTTGACCCACCTCCGGGATCCCTTATAAAGTAGTACTCACCTACTTATTGCCTACTTATGAGCCTGTCTCCCCCAAACAGGAGAACCTTGAGGGCCCAGCACAGACACTCATTGACGTGGCCAACCTTGCTGGACTTTGCACTGAAAGCCCTGCATCCCAGGAAACTCATCGGTCAGGAGCAAACCTGGGGGACCAAACTGTGCCAACCACTGAGACCAGGCCTCCTCCCAGGGGAGGGGCTCCAGGCATCACGGGGAGGCCTTGTGCCAGCTTGGGACGAAGAAGGAAGAGAGGAGCTATGATTCTTTACCCAGGAGACGAGAAAGCTGAAGGAAAGGCAATGGGAGAGTGGACAGGGGTTGGGTTCTTAACCAGGCCCCATACAAATTCAAGTTCAACCTCTCAGAGCGGACACTCCACACCTGGTCTACAGTAGGTGCCCTCGCATCAGAGTGTTGTTGGTACTGACATGATTGGTTAATTCCTTTCCTAAATCTAAGTTCCTTCCACGAGGTGCAGCCCGTCCATGGCCTCTCTTAGGGGACACACAGCAATCTTGCTTCATGTTCCCTGTGCCCTGGAGTGCTGCTCACTTCCCGCCCTCTCTGTGCTCCCAGGCCTGCAGCTGACGGGATCTTCCTCCCAAGCAGGTGGCACAAACCAGCTCCCTTACATATCAGGGAAGAAGGGGCTTAAAGGCTTAAAGGCAGGAAACAGGGCCCTGAAGCAAGGAGCCCTGTTCTCCATTTAGAAAATAAGACCACCAAGTCTTGAATGTTCCAGAGGGGTGAGTGCCAGAGCTGACCAGCAGCCCAGGTCCTAGAGATGAGGTCATGCAGAGGGCATCTGGCCCACGCCCCAGCCTGACCCTGGATGGGAAGGCCTCCAGACTCAGACCCCTCCGTCCTTCTTTACACTTCTGCTTCAGGGCGGCTCCTCGCCCCATCATTAGCTTCTAGGAGAAAAGCTAAGGTCTGAATAAAGCAACCTCACCCTCTGCATTGGCTTCCTTCAAAAGACTGCTTCTCAAAGCCCCAATCTCCAAAAAGCATGGCCTGCTGGGGGCACTGTCCTTTCCTGAGGTGCTTCTGCAAGGGGCTGAAGCTGGAAATCCATGCCTAGAGCCCAGTCTCCACCAGGCAGAGAGTGTTCTGACCCCGGGGCCCTCCCCAGGGATCACTGTGATTACTAGAGACCACCTACAGGGCCCGGCTCTGAAAGATGGCAGCTTTGAGGGCACAAAGGCCTGCTTTAAACAGGCCTGAAACTGCACAGGCTTTTCCAGAGAGGCCAGGCAGGCTCCCTCCGGTAGGTGGGGAAACTGGCCAGGCAGATGTCCACCTAGGACATCACATGTAAACACCGCCTTGACAATTATTTAATACCACGATATGTTGCTCACCTTTCATGCTCCAGTTCTCAGCCTGTTGGCCCAGCACGTGTTGCGTAATCTCTCAGTGCCAAGTTCAGCGTTTTCCCCTGGGCTCCTCGGCCAAGCGAGCCGTCTACGGCATTCTAGGGCATTCCAACTGGCAAGGGGAAGGAGTGAACGTTCCCCACCCCTGGAGCAACCCTCCACCAATAGGGGCTGGAGTCTGCCGACCACTCCCATGCGCTGAGGCTCATTGTGCAGACTCCCGAGAGGGTCTCAGGTGGTGCTGAGCCCCAGCTGCACACGGTGGTGATCAGTTCAGTAATACTCCCTTGAACTGGCTGAGTGTCCCTCCCTGTGCCATTCCCCTCAGTCCCCTGAGCCTCAGCCCAAGGATCATTTCCCGAATGTGTGTCCCTGCACACAAGCCCCTACCCAGCAGGGGCACAACCCAGGGTAAGTCACAACTTGACTTCCTCAGACACCAACGTGGTCCCCTTATGCCAAACTCAGGTTTACTAGTAACATCTTACACACGTGAGCACTTTGCAGTTTACAAAGTCTCGTTCCCGTGACTACAGCTGTATAAGTCATTACCTCCAGAACTTACCCATGTGAAAAGGCTACTCCCCGTGCTCAGAGATTCGGTGGGTCAGTGACTCTGGGAGAGTGCAGCGGGGACGCTAGTCCGTCCCTGCTGTCTGGGGTCCCTGCTGTCTGGGGCCTCCGCTGGAATGATGAAGCCTCACATTTCCAGGAGGTGGAGCCGGTCATGGGCGGGGAGCTCCATTCCTCTCTGCGTGTGACTTCTCATGGCCCAGGGGCTGGGCTGGCTTCCTTTTACGACCCCTCCTCTAGTGTCAGGCAGCGTCACCTGCACTCCTCATGGCAGCCACGAAGTCCCGCCCAGGGTCAAGGCACACCAGGTCGATTTCAGAAAATATGACCCACCACAGGTCCCTTGCACATGATCTCATTAGATTCCTACAGAAGAAACTGCATCTTGTTCTCAGGTTTCCGGTGTTCAGCTTGATTGCCCGGCACCTGGCAAGAGTGCAGTACGTTGCTTTTGTCTTGTGGAGAGAGACAGGTTTTAGGGTCAGCCTGACTTGGGTAGGAGTCCCGATTTCATTGCTTACCGCCTCTATAATCCCTGACAAGTTATTTAGCTTCCCAGAGCCTCAGTTTCCCAATGTTTAAAACGAGAGCCCAGGGGCCCCTGGGTGGCTCAGTTGTTGGGTGCCTGCCTTTGGCTCAGGTCGTGATCCCAGGGTGCTGGGATCAAGCCCCGCATCGGGCTCCCTGCTCCCCGGGAAGCCTGCTTCTCCCTCTCCCACTCCCCCTGCTTGTGTTCCCTCTCTTGCTGTCTCTCTCTCTTTTTCTCTCTCTCTCTGTTGAATGAGTGAATAAAATCTTTAAAAAACAAACAAAACCCACGAGAGCCCAAATGCCCATTTCTCGAGGCTGGTGCTAGCACTGGGTATGTCGTGTTGGAATGTGCCGAGCAGATTCCTAACACCTGATGGGTGCCTACTTTATCTCTGCTTCTTCCCCTCCATTCCATTCCACCCCCACCTCAGGACTGAACCCTTCTTGGACTTCCCAGCAGGTTCACAGACGGACATGAGAAGAAATCCTCAGTTATGCGTCCAGGGTCAGGGCCACGGGCTGGGGTAGCAGTCGGGGTGACTAGCTTCAGCACACTCTCTTCCCCTCCCTGGATACTTGCCGCTCAGCCCAGAACTTCGAGCAGTGACCCAGCTCCCCTGATGGCACCTCCCTCCCACAGTTCAGGCTCTTTGGTTTCTCGGATGCCCTGGAGATTCTCCCAGAGTCCCAAGGGCTGCGGGGAAAGCTGACCACCTCCCCCGAGAGTATTGCCTGGAT